ACATCACTGAGGCAGCAACTAGGAGAGATTGCCTAATTACTTTCTTAAGTTTCCCCAACAGTTTAAATAGCTAAATATACACAATTCTAATATTTCCCAGTAAGGGAGTAATGTGGTAACCACCTCAATGTTCATTACAGTCTATAATTCTGAAGTAAAGCTCTTGAAATTCAAATTAGAAATATCAAATCACAGTTGTGATTGTACTGTGAGAAACTCAAAGCATTCTTCCAATGTACTACCATTGTTTATTTAATGTGAATATGCTTGGCCCTGCATGATACACACAAATACAGGCTCTGTAACAAAGAGACATGGGACGTACTTCTGCACAGACGTCATACTATTATTACATGCCCACAGTTCATTCTATCAACATCTCTAACCCTACACCAAGTTGGAAAAGTAATATATTTAGCACCAATAATGTTTCAAATTACATACCATACCAAGTATCAGCCGTGTTTGTCGCTTTTTACAGATCCAGACTAAGAGTCCTGTGGCACCTTATAGACTAACAGACGTATTGGAAAGCTTATGCTCCAATATGTCTGTTAGTCTATAAGGTGCCACAGGACTCTGTCGCTTTACACCATACCAAGGCAGCATTTTTTAAAAGTGCATCAGTACTCTTATTCCTAATTAGCACTGTGTGCATGAATGATGAATTTCAGTTGTGTTTTAACAAAAACAGTTTACAGTTACCAGCTAACCTTCCCCATGAGCATCTTGATCTCAAATACAATCTTGTTTTGTATATATGGTATAAATTTGCTGGGCCAAATAGTGCTGAGGTACACCAGTCCCAAACTGGATTAACTGCCTTGAACTCCAGTGTAGCAGTAGAATTTGACCAGTCATATGAAGATAACAGAAGTTAATCATGGATGACATATAGCTTATCAGCAGAAGGGAAAGGAGTAGATCAAACAAAGCAACTAATATTAACAAGTTATAGCATAAGACTTGCTGAATCTTCAGACAGTCACTCCCTGGATACACAGATTCCTATTTGCTCAAGCTAATTTAAAGTCTAAGTCCTATTCCTATTATGGTGCCTCATTTCTGTCAAATTATTTTAATTCTAGGATCTGCCTCAAAGCATTTGCTGCTCAGAAATAACTAGCTCCTCTCCTATAAATTTAACTTTTTTACCCTATGGTCAATTACAGGTGTAGACAGCTGTTCACAACTTTAAATAGTGTTAGTTATCAGCCTGTGGCTTTGAAGAGCAATTCTGCAATTTAACCAAAAATGGAGAAGAAAAAAAACTGAATCAAAGCACTATGGCTCTGTGGTAAGATCATTTTTCCAAAGTGACACAAACAATATTCATTCCAAAACTTAAATGGCTTTCTTCAAGGAAGTTAGGGGGTTCCCCAGTCCCTTTCTTTAAGCATTCTTAACCACAGTACAAATTTAACTACTCATCTGAAATATTAACAAAACTACCATATTATAAACTAATAGTACATGACCCGTTAATTAACCTCAGGTCAATTATTCGGAACCCTAGTATGTTCAATTCTATAATTAACGTGAACATAGAAATCACAGATCAGTATCTAGTCCAGTCCCCTGCACTGAGACAGGACTAATTATTATCAGACCATCCTTGAAAGGTGTTTGTCTAATCTGCTCTCAAAACCCTCCAGTGATGGAGATTCCAAATTTGTTCCAGTGCTTAACTACCCTTACAGTTAGGAAGCTTTTCCTAAGATCTAAAATAAATCTCCCTTGTCACAATTTAAGCCCATTACTTCTTGTCCTGTCTTCAGTGGTTAAGGAGGGAGAACAGTTTATCACCCTCCTCTTTATAACAACCTTTTATGTACTTGAAGACTTATCTCCCCCCTCAATCTTCTTTTCCCCAGACTTAAACCCATTTTTTCTAAACTTTCCTCATAGGTCATGTTTTCAAGACCTTTAACCATTTTTGTTGCTATCCTCTGGACTTTCTCTAATTTGTCCACATCTTTCCTAAAATGTGGTGCTCAGAAGTGAACTCATCAGCCTTATCAGTGCTGAGTAGAGTGGAAGAATGTTATTGGCAAGACACCAGAAATCACTCTTGCTAATATATTCCAGAATAATATTTGCCTCCCCCAACAGTATTACTTTTAATATGAATCAGTCTGCTCTACTATAACCTCCAGATCCTTTTTTGCAGTACTCCTTCCTAGAGTCATTTCCCCATTTTGTATTTGTGCAATTGATTATTCCTTTCCAAGTGCAGTACTTTTAATGTAATTCTATTTATGTCACACCATTTCTCCAGTTTGTCAAGATAATTTTTAATTCTAATCCTGTCCTCTAAAGCGCTTGCAACCCCTAACAGTGTGGTATCGCCAGCAAACTTTAGAAGTGTATTTTCTCCATTACCAAATCATTTATGAAGATATCGAATAGAACCAGACCAATGACAGACCCCTATGGGACCCCCACTCCATATGCCCTTTCATCTTTGCTGTGAACCTCGGATAACTAGTGAGTACAGTTTTCAAACCAATTCCACACCCAACTGATAGATTAATCTAGGCTACATTTCTCCAGTTTGTTTATGAGACTGTCATGTGAGATAGTATCAAAAGCCTTACTGATGTCAAGATATATCACATCTACTGGTTCCCCCCATTCATAAGGCTTGTTACCCTGACAAATAAGGATATTAGGTTGGTTTGACATGATTTGTTCTTAACTGATAATAAGGTGATAAGTAACTTCTAGGTGCTTACAGATTGTCAATTATATTGATTTGTCTTACAGTAAATTAAGTCAAATCGATTTGGAACATTTAAACAAAAAGTGCACTACAGACTATGAAATCTAAACAATGGAATTAAGTTTCACTAAAGTGATGCAGAAAGTGTTTGCTAAACACATTGATCTTTCAGTAATAGTAGATGAGAGATCATTTGGCTCTAACAGATATCAAAGTTCCTAACTGTCAGGGTATTAAACATGGAATAAATTGCCTAGGGGGGTTGTGGAATCTCCATCTCTGGAGATATTTAAAAGTAGGTTAGATAAATGTCTATCAGGGATGGTCTAGACAGTATTTGGTCCTGCCATGCAGGCAGGGGACTGGACTCGATGACCTCTTAAGGTCCCTTCCAGTCCTAGAATCTATGACTTCATACACAGCCAAGGCTGAGGAAACATTTTACCTAAAAGTGTGGGTCTAATTTATTTGCTGGTGCAATAAAGAAGCAGTCTACCTTGTCCATCAAGGCTACAAACCACAATAAAAACAACAATAAAAGCATAGTTGTAAGTTTTCAGATTCAAAAGAAATGTTCCTTAATGTGCCATGTGTATTTAGGTTCAAAGTACAGAAACACTATACACTTGTATGTACTAGGTTTAGTTGATGAAATTATATAGTCCTTAAGTTTACCAAAAAATGCATTGCTTCCATTTTTTTCCCCCAATTCAGTTTACTAAACTGAAAGACTAACCAGAGCAGCTGAATTAAGGAAAACCAGGAAGTCCATTGAAACAAGGAAGCAGCCAGTTTCTTAGCTGCAAGTAACTACATTGCTGAGCTTATGTAATCTTCAAAAAATTACAAAGAGTGCAAGTCCAAGAGTACAAATTCTAATCTTAAAAGAGAATTAATAGTCTATCCCTTTTCTACTCTCTATATATTGTTTTTTCTAGGCTTAAAAGTTTCCCATATGTTACTTTACAAAGGCACTTCCACAATTCCTCTGGTCTTCAACATGCTTTGAATACATCAGAGGAAAAAAATATTTCAATACAAAAAATATTTCAACTTGATATGGTTTGATAGGAATTAATTACAGCAAAATATATACACAATTAAGAGATCCTGCTAGATTTGATTCTCTTTCTCACCACAGTTGCCTTACAACCTGTAGGATACAATCTTTCCACAGGCTCTATTTATGGGCACAGTTAGCCAGTGCCAAGTTGCTAAGTTGCAGCTTTGCTAGTTTGACGTTTATACAATGCAAAGAACAATATGCTCTGGAATCTACTCAAAGCATTAGCTAGGCAGAGAAAGCAAGGGATCAGCTGATTATATTGCACACATGCCATGGCAGCCTCTGCTTTAAAAAAAAAAAAAAGAGGGAGGGTGACGAAAGAGAAAAAATCTACGAGATTTTAAAATTAAAAAAAACTTCCAATGGTTTCTCTCGCCCACCCCCCACCGTGTAACCTTCACACGCGCCGCGCCATGCACCAGGCAGCCACCAGAGCAACTTTTACAAAAGGTCAATGCGGTGCCTTTCAAGACTTCCCCTCCCCCACCCGCTTTCCCTCTCTCTAGCATGGCCCCGAGAGCCCGGCCACTGACAGACCCTCCCGGGGACGAAGAGATGGGGCGAGGTTTCCTTAACCCCCAGCCCCATCGCGCCGCCGCCCTCCCCCCCATCGTTCACCTTCGCTCTCAAACCGCCCCTCTCACCTCAGCCCCTCGCTCCTGTCACCCCCCAAAGTCCACTCACGCGGCCTCCTGGGCCCCCCGGCTCCCCCCACTCACCCTCCTCGAGGTGACTCCACAGCCCCTTCCCCCAGGCCGGATTTGCTGTGTCAGGCCCGGCCCCTCCCCCCCGGGCCCGGCCGGCTCGGCTCGCTCCGCCGCGGCAGCAGCGTGTGCGGCCTGGAAAGTCACATGGCCCCACAAGGCGGCCGGCCGGCCTCGCCGCCTCCCCCAAGCCTGGCCCCCTCCTCACCTCCACGAACAGCAGCATCCTCCTTCTCCCGCCTCCCCCCGAGGCCAGCGGGCCTGGGATCCCGGCTCGGACGGCTCCCCGCTCCCAGGCAGGCTCCGGCAGCGCCAGCGATAAGGACACTCGGGCTCCGCCTCCGGCTGCTGCCGCCAGCCAGGGCCCGGGCCCCCGCCCCTTCCAGATCCTCCGCCTCTCCCCGGCCGCCACCGCCTCTGCCGGGTCACCACCTGGAAGTCCTTCCGGGGTCATCGAAGGCAGTTGGACGAAACTAGCCCGCGTCCTCTTGGGAACGTACTATTGACCGGGGGGGGAACCATTCTGCGTGGTATGGGATGAGGTGTCAGAGGGGGTGTACCATTCTCTACGCTATTGGGATTGTTCAGAGGGCATGTACCAATCTCTGTGGGGGAATCAGTTGGAGTGGTCCTCTCCTTGTTTGTCTGTTGGGTGGAACGTGCCATTCTCGGTGCAGGGGGGGTGCACGGGGGAATGTACCATTCTGTGTGCCCCTGAAGGGGCCATTGTGCCACCTCAGGACGTGCCCAGCACAGAGCCATCATGTAGCATCCAAACAGGGTGACCTCACGTCAAGGCTGCACAAAGCAATGCAAGGGCCCCAAGGTGGGATCATGCCCCATTGAGATGCCATCATGGCCCTACCGCATGCTGAGCCTGGGGCCATGGAAGTGGATTTCAAGTATCACCAACCTCAAGCCTTCAAAACCATGAGTCAGCCTTCAGAAGCGTAAGACTGAGTTAAAAACAATACACTTGGGGCTCTTCTGGTTCATGTTTGCCCTCTTTTCTCCACAACTATGAGATAAAGGCCGAGAGTCTCACAGTAATCTCAGCACTCCAAGATCTGAGGCTTCAAGAAGAATACCAAATATTGTGATACCTGTGACAAGTCACAAGAGTTACAACACTGCATCACATCAAGATCTTGATGAGCCTCAAACAGAGCAATGAGATATCAAGAAAGCTGGGTCGTGTTGTACTCAAACATCACTGTGACCCACAAGATGCTGAAATGTGGCTCTATTTCACAGGCCCCAACAGATGTTTTGTCACCCTTTTTATCAGAGACAGAGGAGCTGTCCCCCACCCACAGGAGGAGAAAATTAATCTACCCAGAATAACAGGTAACCTGTGAAAAAGACCAACATGTCTCCAATTCTGAAAGAAATAGATTCCCTCAGGCTAAGCTCTTTGGGGCAGGGACCTACTTTTTTTTTAATATGTTCATGGGCATAATTGAGGAGCAGGCATTGCCCTCCCAACTCCAAGCCTCTGGCAGGCACAGAATTTACACACATCGCCACATGCAGCCTCATTGGCCTGACTGGAGCTGCCCCCCCATATATAAAAGTCAAACTATGCCTGTGTATATGCGTGTATATTACCTAGCATCATGCGGATCTCTGATCCATCAATACAAATAATTTATAATAATAAACACTCACTCATACACACATGCTTGCATACACAGACACTTAGTTATCTCTCCTGTCTATTTGGGGATAGTTCTTTACTGCCACCCATCACTTTAGTATCTGCGTGCCTTCCACATAAAAGCAGTACTAAACTGAAATCCCCAGTGCACTTTGTGAAGACTCTGGCATTTCACCCTTTATGGGGTAAAAATTCCAAAGCTCAGGGTAGTGTTTATTAATTTAATTTGATTAATTTGCCTTCTTTTTGTGATGTGGAGGGGTATTGGTTGGGGGTTTTGGGTAGAAGAGGGTGTCTATTAGCATAAGCAGTGCTGGTTGAAATTTTGTAATTCCAAAAAAAATGGCCTTTTTTCAAAACCTGACATTTTCTTGAACATTTTTTTCTTTGTTTCCTTTAAAAAAAAAAAACTTTGAAGACAAGACATTTAGTCTGTTTTTACTTTATAATTTTTTCCCCCAAACTTTCTCTCCCTTTTTTCCTCCCTTTTTTTCAGTGGTAAAATACAAAAAAAAAGGGGGAGGTGAAAGGGGGAAGAGGAGTGAAAAGAAAAAGGGGAAAGAATGTCGGGGGAAGAAAAACTGAAAACAAACCCAAAACCCCAAGATGTAAAACAAACATTTGTGAAAAACTTTTAATATACAAAAAATGTTGATTTTTGAAAATCGCATAATGAAAAATTCAACAAAATTGAGTACATTTTTGTCCAGCCCTCCATTTTAGGACTCTTGCACCTATCTTTGAGTATCTGGTATTGACCACTATCGGAGACAGGATAGTAGGTGGACTCCTGATCTTGTCTGTCAATTCGTAGGTTCCTAATGCTTTTTTCCCATAACTCATGGGAGGCCATCAGAGGCCTGTATTCCAAGGATGATCTGTTTTCCCCACTCACACACCATAAGATGGCAAAGAGCTTTAATTCTTTGTACTTGTAGGATAAGATCAAGAGCAGAAACAGCTGAAAGTTTGGAGTGGGAAATGGAATAATTCACTGTGTGGAGTCCTGAAAGGGGGTCAGGGGAGAAGGAACAAATGCCAACATTTCAATTGAGAGAGACAAGGTGAGTGAGGTAATATCTTACTGGACCAACAGTGAGAGATACAAGCTTTCAAGCTTACGCAGAGCTCTTCTTCAGGTGTGAAGAGCTCTGTGTAAGCACAAAAGCGTGTCTCTCTCACCAAGAAAAGTTGGTCCAATAAAAGATATTACATCACCCATCATGTCTCCCTAATATCCTGGGACCATCATAGTTACAACAACACTGCGTACAACATTTCAATTTGCCAGCTTGGCAGGGCAGTGAGTTCTGCTAAATAAAGAAAAATCTCCAAAGAGTACAAGAAGGATCCAAGAACAATGATTTCCAGCCACAATATTGCACTGATAATCAAAGTATGGTCCACGGGCCACCTGTGATCACCTTTTCTGGTGCTCTGCAGACTGAAATATTTTATAGCCAAAAGGTAAGAAATTGGGGGTTAGGGGGGAAGTGAGTCCATGAAAAGCTTTTTCTTAAATAGCCTTACAAAGCATTAAAAGCTTGAGCACCAGTTATGTTAGGGAATCCCTGCAGCTCCTCTCCAGGAATGGCTTCATTTGAAATTACTCTGACAAGCAATTCTATTTTTAAAATGTCCAGCACCACTAGAGTCTTGTCCCTGCAAACACTCACATGTGTCCCGCTGAGGACTACTTGTGCTTGCAGTACATAAATGATAGAAAGATTATTGGACAACTGCGGCTCTGAACTTTTGTAGTACAGCCAGCAATGTCACCTTCTACCAGAAAGCTGACTGGGATATAACTGTTCTAGGATATAACTGTTCTAGAACCTTCTTGTTAAGCGCTCCTGTTGAAATCTCCCTAGGGGTATTTCATTAGTAAATCCTGTTTGGTAGGTGTCTTATCTATGTACATTCCATTCACTGTGCCTGATGATATCAGGATAGAACCAGAGGAAAGGTTATTATGACATCACCCAGACAAATAGAATATTCTCATCTCTTGGTGACATGTCCATTTGCCCCTCTGCTAACAGCCAGAGTAACTGGACCTCCAACTACACCTCTAGAACGAGGAAACTAAACAGGCTTACCCTGTGATTCAGTTTGAAATTGTCAGAAGTTTATTCTTAGTGCAGGAAAACTACCAGGTCCTAAACATGGTAGTGCAGGAATCATCATCTTCATCATCATCATCATCAGGAAGCTCATATGAATCTGAAACAAACTCAGAACCTGAGCCTGAAGCTGCAACCTCTAAATTGGAACTCACGATCAGTCCTCTCACTGAAATCCCCCCCTCAGTGAAGAACATATTGGAGAAAATTGATGCTGCCCAGCTCGACAGAGCCAGGAAGGTACATGTTGACACTGAGCACCTGATCTTTGGGGCTGCTGAATGCCTCCTGTGAGTAGGATGCAAGGGAGACTAGCCCTTTGTAGGTTTCAGAGTAACAGCCGTGTTAGTCTGTATCCGCAAAAAGAAGAACAGGAGTACTTGTGGCACCTCAGAGACTAACAAATTTATTAGAGCATAAGCTTTCGTGGACTACATCCCACTTCTTCGGATGCATATAGAATGGAACATATATTGAGGAGATATATATATACACATACAGAGAGCATAAACAGGTGGGAGTTGTCTTACCAAAAACCAGTGGGAGAACACTTTAACCTGTCTGGTCATTCAGTGACAGACCTGCGGGTGGCTATATTACAACAGAAAAACTTCAAAAACAGACTCCAAAGAGAGACTGCTGAGCTAGAATTGATATGCAAACTAGACACAATCAACTCCGGTTTGAATAAGGACTGGGAATGGCTGAGCCATTACAAACATTGACTCTATCTCCCCTTGTAAGTACTTTTTGCGGATACAGACTAACACGGCTGTTACTCTGAATGTTTGTAATGGCTCAGCCATTCCCAGTCCTT